AGCAGTGAATTTTGTTTATTCTGGTCCTGGAGATAGAACCCAGGCCCTTGGTACTGAGCTCTATTCCTGGCCCCTTTTTAAATTTTGAGGCAGGGTTTTGCTAAATCGCCAAATTGCCTAAACTCGGTTCAAATTTACGATCTTTTTGCTGGGCAAGGTGGTGCATGCCTATAATCCCAGCACTTAGGAGGCTGAGGCAGGAGGGTCATTGTGAGTTCGAGACCAGCCTGGGCTACAAAGTGAGCTCAAGGCCAGCTGAAACTGCATAGTCTCAAAAAGACACACAAAAAAACTTACGATCTTCTTGCCTCAGCCTCCCATAGTGCTGGCCCACAGCCAGCCACAAAACTTGTTATTGGTCTTTGTCCCTATCTATCTGTCTGTCTGTATGTCTATCTATCTATCCATCCATCCATCTATCCATCTAAAGACAAAGTCTTGCTATGAGTTCAGGCTGGCCTTCAACTCTCAGTGATCCTCCTGCCTCAGCCTCCCAGGTGCTGGGATTATAGGCATGTGCCACCATGCCCAGTTACTTTCTAGTTGTAGATGCTGGGCAAATTATTCATCTGTCTGTTTCTCAATTTCCTTATCTGCAAGATGGGACTATTAGATGCTTCCTCAAGTGTTATAGGAATAAATAAACACAGTAACAATTGGATGGACAGCATCTGGCATACAGACAATGGCGACTGCAGTCATTATCAATAGCATTAGTTGAATAAATCACAGGTCTTCTGTTCACAAAGGCATGGTCTATAAGAAGAAAGTCAAGTGAAGGGTTGAGTGAATGGTTCACTGAAAGAAAGTAAACCCGGTATGGTGGTGCACATGTGTAGTCCCAGATACTCAGGAGGCTGAGGCAGGAAGATCACAAGTTCAAGGCCAGCCTAAACAACTTAATGAAACCCTGTCTTAAAATCAAGTTTTCTTTAAAAAGGAATGGGGTGTAGCTCAGCAATAAAGTGTTTGCCTAGCAGGTGGGAGGCCTGGGATCAATCTCCAATATCACAAAAGAAAAAGAAAAAAGGAGATTTTAGTGTAGACAGCTTAAAAAGGGAGGGGTAGGCAAAGATAGATGTCAGGGAAGAAGGGAGGTGGCCAAATGGTAAGAAATCTAGATTTGGAGACAGCACATTTCCAGTGACACATTCACAGTGCAGAGGATTTTTGAGGACAAAGACAGTCACATTAAATTTTAATGTGTTCATTTTCCTGCAGTGGGGTCTTCTGGTTCTCACACAGGCTTCCACACCAACCTTCAGTGAAAGTTGGGTCCACTCATTGTATTAGTCAGTATAACTGATGACAGCTGCTGTAACAAGCAGCCCCCAAAATCTCAACATCGTAAGACAATCAAGTCATTTCTTGTTCATATATACCACCTGACGAAGGTCTCTGAGCAACGACTCCGTGAGCCAAGCCCTTTTTAAATTCCACAAGTGGGGCTGGGGATTTAGCTCAGCGGCAAAAGCGCCTGCCTGGCAAGTGCAAGGTCGTGAGTTCGGTTCCCGGTACCGGAGAAAAATCAAAAAATCAAAAAATAAATTCCACAAGTAATGGGCACTCAGTATCCACAGATTCCACCTTTATGCATTAAAGATATTTGGGAAAAATTTGCATTTATTCTACACATGCACAGAATTTTCTTCTACACAACACAACATAGCAAGTATTTATAGAATATGTATATTGTATTAGGTATTACAGCTCAGGCTGGCCTTAAACTCACTATGCAACCCAGGTTGGCCTCAAACTCATGGCAATCCTCCTGCCTCAGCCTCCCGAGTGCTGGGATGACAGCTGTGGGCCACCACACTATTGTGAGAATTTCTTTATTTTTACGGTGCTGGGGATGGAAGCTGGGGTTTCGTGCACACTAGGCAAGTGCTCTATCACTGAGCTCCACTGTAACCCAAGACAAGACTGAAGCCCACAGGAGGGTGTGTGTAGATTCCATGCAAATAGTATGTCATTTCATATAAGGGACGTGGGCATCTATGACTTTAGCATGATTGGGAGGAGGGGGCCCATAGGTCCTGAGGACTGACTGTGACACCCCTACCTTATACAAATGGCCTCCAAGTTACCTTTTATAAAGGCAGGAAATAGGGCAGAGATTTATAGGCACTCATACCCTACTGGCTAAGACCCGGCCACATGGCCCCAACCTAACTCCAAGAAAAACAGGGAAACATATTTTCAATTATATATGCCCAGGGAGAGGAAAACAGTGAATAGCATTAGCATTACCACATACATTTTATTGATCTATTCATTTATGGTGGTGGGGATCAAACCCAGGCCTTATGCAGGACAGGCAACTGCTCACCCCTGAGCTGCGCCCCAGCCCTTCCATATGTGTTCTTGAGGTAAGGATGTTTGGGGGAGGAGCTAAAGGAAAACTGTCTTTATGAGGTGTGATAAAAAGTATGCTAATTCTGCTGAGTGCCATCCAATGGAAAGGCAGCTCATAAAAACAAGAATATATGTCCTCATCTACCTCATTCGTGAGATCTGGCACCATGGGACTTCTGGCTCTTCCCCAAGTCAAAATGACCGTGAAAGATAAACGTTTTGAATAG